AATCTTTTGCAGAAGCATAGACTGGGCCAATGCACTGATTTTGCCATCGTTGCAATTAGTCGCAACTGTCACGATGGCATGAATGACATTCCTGTACGTGATAGTGTCATCTTCGCCATTTGCCGAGAGCGAAGTCTGACTTGCATTTTTTGGGTATGCCTCGAGGTTCATCCCGGGCCCGGTATGATCTCCAATGAGTTGGTCTTGGCTAGATTGATCCACGTTTGTGCTCGGGCTTAACGCATTACCAAGTGAATAAAGGGTAGTAATCACAGCGTCCTCGGAAAGAATAGTCAAGATCTGGGCGAGGCACCGAGAAGCGACGGCAACGGTGGAGCGAGCCGACACACCTCCCTGGGCCAGGAATCTCAAAAGACAGCGTCTTCCAATAGATGCACCATTTGGAGACATTCTTGCAAGAATGGCGGTGCACTTCAAAACTGTCACAGACAGTTCCACGTTTGACATTTGCTGGGAGTCAAGCAGTGTATCCTCGAGCCATGATAGCAGTAATTCGTTGTTGGCTGCATCTTCGCCAAGAATCACGCAGTTAAGGAAGCCTACCAGGGCATGTCCCTTAACAGAGAAGGCAAGGTGCTGCTGCCAAGGAGACCCGACTTGCAGGTAGTCGGAGCCATCCTCTAGCAAGTGAATTTCCTCACTAATGATATCGGTGACGCGCTCGACCAGGGAAATATCCGCCTCGTCATAGCTCTTCGCAATACCAACGCCAGTCATATAGTCATCCAAGAGTTGCTCATCGGTCAGACGCTGGAACCCGATCAGAGAGGCTGCACATGATTTCACAAAACGCATATATCCTTCTTGCACAAGCATGGCACTTAATGGGCGACCATGAGCAGCATATCGACGGGTGTATTTTCTCCAGTCTTTGAAAGCATGCTCCGCGACGTTTGCATTGCGGAGGGTGGACGAAGCCGTCTCAACTGCGATTAGGAAAGGTTCGGACAGCATCGCACGCAGATGATCGACAATATGTAACTTTTCGCTCGCATGCCAAATAGAAGTGTACTCCGCGGAGGCTTCCATAAACCCAACGAGTGAAACGGCGATTGACAAAACGGCAACAGATTCATGTATAACGCCCTGTCGCCCCGCCTCAGATCTAGAGTATTGGAAAGGTGTGACCGCATTGATAGCCTCGGCGCAGTTATTCAGATATCCATCCACTGCATTGAGTGCTGTCTGTCGCAAATCTGAATACCTGGTTCCCAACGACAAAAGCGCGAGAGTCAGGTTGTTCGTGAGAGTATCCCAAGGCGACGGCTTTACACCGTGGAGGAAGGGCGAGGACTGAAATAGCTGGCTGTGGGATTCCGGCAGGTATCGAGAGAGTTGTAGTGCCAGCTGCGCAGCATTTTCTGGATCTTTCACCGAGGAGACCGCCTTGCATAGGGCCAGAAGGACATCTAGTTCGCGGATTCCCTGTCCAACCGTTAGCCCGTACTCACTACACTACCGGGAGTCGGTAGCAAATATAGAGACGCACCATTGGGACTTGGGATATCGGGGCCTGTTGCCTCAATATTCCATTCAAAGCACCACCAGGCTCTGAGGTCGATTGAGACTGCTCCGCGAGGCGAGCGAGCTCGGATCCATCTCCATCGTGGGCAGGCGCCTCAACTGCCAAAGCAGCAAGCTTTTGGAAAGCGAAACGTCTAATTCCACCTGAGAGGCTTTGATTATCCATTAGCATGGTGGGCAAATATTGAATAATGTCACATACCCGTCCATTGTGAAGAACCTATGGGCCTAAGGTTGGGAATGAAGGAACCTGGAGAATGAGGTCAGGGGACAGCACGTGTTTTGAGACACGAGCCTAGGTCCGACCACCAGGGCTATTATTTGTTGACATGATACTTTTATAGTATATGTTATATTATATTACCTACAGATTCAATCGGTTTAGAACAATATATATAACTAGATATGGATATGTCTAAACATAGATCATCGCACTTGCCCTTGTCAGGTTTGAGGCGGAGAGCCAACAGGGGAGCTTTCTCCAGACTCTTCCCCCCCCCCCCCCCCAAAAGCTGTAGAACTACTCTCCCACATATTCTTCATTGTTCCTTTTTTTTTAATCTTTGCATTTTCTTCAGTACAGAATCAAAACATCTCTGTATTGACATCTCTACCATTGCTGAATTGACCTATAGCTATCGCTGATTGGTCTGGAACCCTCTCCAGTCAACGTAATAACAGCCCTGTGTTATGGCCCCCCGTGAGAAAAGCTCGCTCAAGCGAGGAAGGGTACGCTCTATTCTAATTGGCGCTGCTCATCTGCTTACAGGGGTTACTATAGGCCACTGTCGATGCAGATTCACAAGACCAAAAGAAACCTCGACGCTCTCAAAGAATCTCGAGTCAAGTCCAACAAGACACACCAGTCGACTTGGATTACTTGCCGACCCCAGTCACCGGTCCTCAATCTACCGCTACGGAGACTCGGAACGAGCTTACTGTCACACCCCCTGAAAGCCCTCGCCACAGCCATCAACAAATCTCATCCCAACCCGAATGGTCACACGCGATTTCCTCGCCAGCGTTCGAGGATACCCAGGCGCTTTCACAGTTTGTGTATCCACCCAGAGCATTCGCAGACGATGTGAAAGATGAGGACGCGGAAGGGGTCTGGGGCTACCTGCTACCACTGGATGAGAACGGGAATGGCCCACTTGTGCTGAGGAAGCGCGATGGTTGCGATAATGGTGATGATGCTACCAAACCCAAGGGGAAGAAGGCCCAAAACTCCAAGAGTGCCAAGTCGCCAGGTGGCTTCTTGGTCGGCCGTCATCCTGAGTGTGGTAAGTGATAGCTTGATGGTTATCGAGTGTTTGTTCTGACTATAGTCAGATCGCGTCCTTGAAATTCCCACAATTTCAAACCGGCACTTCCTCATCTTTGCTGAAAAGAAGAAAGGCGACATGGTTGCTGTGCTGGAGGACCTCTCTAGCAATGGAACATTTGTTAATGATGCCATTGTTGGGCGTAACAAGCACCGAGAACTGGAGGACGGCGATGAAGTTTCGATTCTGAATGAAGCTCGTTTTGTTTTCCGCTATCCTCGTACTCGGGAAACGAATGGTTTCCGTCAGCAATACCGGATTCTCAAGCAGCTCGGCAAAGGCCACTTTGCAACCGTTTATCTGTGTGCGGAACGATCTACCGGAGACAAGTATGCAGTCAAAGTCTTTGAAAGACGCCTTGGTGACTCGCAAAAATCACAAAATGACAATGCTCTGCAGCAAGAGATCGCGTTGTTGATGGGCGTTCACCACCCGAATCTACTGTGTCTCAAGGAACCCTTTGATGAAAGTGACGGCGCTTATTTGGTACTTGAATTGGCACCCGAGGGAGAACTGTTCAACTGGATTGTGAATAATCAGAAAATGACCGAGAATGAAACTCGCCGTGTGTTCCGCCAACTGTTTGACGGATTGAAATATCTGGTAGGCATATCGAAAGTCCACACATATACATTACTGGGTCAGCTAATGTATCATCAGCACGAACGAGGAATTGTGCATCGAGATATCAAGCCAGAAAACATCCTGGTTGCAGACAGGGCTTTGAATGTGAAATTGGGTGACTTTGGGCTGGCTAAAATTATTGGGGAAGAATCTTTCACAACGACCCTGTAGGTGAAACCTCGTTCAAGTCAATGTGAATGATCGCTAACATTTTTTTCCAGTTGTGGTACACCAAGTTGTAAGTCACAAAGTATGGGACCTTGAAACCTCGGTGTGAATACTAATTTCGCAGACGTTGCCCCGGAGATTTTGCAAGATACCCGCCACCGAAAATATACCAAGGCTGTGGACGTATGGTCCCTTGGTGTCGTTCTCTACATCTGTCTCTGTGGCTTCCCGCCGTTCTCGGATGAACTGAACACTCCAGATAACCCATTGAGCCTCGCCCAACAGATCAAGATGGGCAAGTTTGACTACCCGTCACCGTACTGGGACTCTGTTGGCGATCCCGCCCTGGACCTAATCGACAGAATGCTTACCGTGGACGTCAACAAGAGGATCACGGTGGATGAGTGTCTCGAGCATCCTTGGATGACCGGAAAGTACCCAAGTGTCACTGACAGCACAGATGGCCTGACAGGGGCTCTTGGTAAACTAGACTTTTCTAAGCGCAAGTTTAAGCGGGAGCGGACCTTGTTGAGCAGTATCAACGATGCTCACTTCAGTGAGCACGCCGAAGGCAGCGAGAAACCGGTCAAAGTATTCCGAAATGAAGCCGGGAAACGTGTCCACAACCGACCAGCCAAGCGTGAAGTCTCCCCCAGTGGCAACCGGCAGCCGAAAGATTTCATCAACATTGGGGAGCGTGGCGATCCTACCTTGTACGACAATTAAGGGCTACTGTGGCTTTGTACAACTTTTATTCTTATTGACTGCGTAATATCATCATCGGGGGGGGGGTACCAAATGGGAGTTCCATGTATAGTTAGGTCAAAATGGAATGATACATGTATTAGAAATGTCATAAGTAATCCATACCAAACGGGCAAATGCATCCAAGCTAAAAGAGTAGTCAATATACAATATATTGAATAGTCAAAATAAATCCATAGCGTACGGGAACCCCTTGGCCGAAGTGGCGTGATGTGTATAGCCATGTACTATAGGGTTCCTCCGTACTCCGTGCTAACTAGGCACAGGAATCGACCGAAATAGATAGAAATAGACATTAAATAGACATAAAAAATACATAAAAAATAGGAGTAATAGAAGAAAGAAATAAAACTTACGATTGAAAATTATATGCTTGGCACATCTCTAGACCAGGGGCGGGTCTATCTCTCGCCGAATGATATCGGACTGAATTATTTTTCCTTTCGCCTCCGGTTTAACCTTCTCAACTTCTCTTTCGATTGATTCAATTGGAGGGTTTATAGGGTCATTGTGAGCCCGTTTTCTTTCTTTCTGTTCTTTGCTTTCACTCTTCTCCTTTTGCTTCTGGACAACATGGGTCTCTTCTCAAGTTTCCTCGCAACCTTCTGCGAGCACTGCTCGACCCAGTCAGTCTACACTTTGGCTAGTGTTGGAGCACTGTCGTTCATTGCGCTGTCAGTCGTGATCAATGTGCTCCGTCAGCTCTTTTTCAAGAAGGTCCATGAGCCCCCCGTGGTCTTCCACTGGTTCCCCTTTTTTGGAAGCACCATCAGCTATGGCATGGACCCATACACGTTCTTCGACAACGCCCGCGCAAAGGTATGTCAATCGCAGATGTGTGTGGTCCACAGAAGAAAGCAATCGCTAATTTGGGGGGTAAAACGCTGGTAGTATGGCGACATCTTCACTTTCATCCTCCTGGGCAAGAAGACCACCGTCTACCTAGGCACCAAGGGCAACGAGTTCATCCTCAATGGCAAGCTTCGTGATGTGAACGCCGAAGAGGTTTACTCTCCCCTCACCACCCCCGTCTTCGGTCGTCACGTCGTCTACGATTGCCCCAATGCTAAGCTCATGGAGCAGAAGAAGGTATGAAGAGAATAGATTATGCGACCAAAGTCCGGCTACTGACCGCTGGATAGTTTGTCAAATTTGGTCTTACTTCCGAGGCCCTTCGGTCTTATGTTCACTTGATCACCAATGAGGTTGATGACTTTGTGAAGAGCTCACCCGCTTTCCAGGGCACCAAGGGTACTATCAATGTTTCGAAGGTCATTGCCGAAATCACAATCTACACAGCATCCCGCTCGTTGCAAGGACAGGAAGTCCGCGATCGATTCGACTCGACTTTTGCTGAAATGTACCACGACCTCGATAAGGGTTTCGCTCCTATCAACTTCATGCTGCCATGGGCCCCGCTCCCCCACAACCGCAAGCGCGATGCTGCCCAGAAGAAGATGACCGACACATACATGGATATCATCAAGGCGCGCCGTACATCTGGTGAGAAGAAGGACTCCGAGGATATGGTCTGGAACTTGATGTCGTGCACTTATAAGAATGGCACCCCGATTCCCGATGAGGAAATTGCCCACATGATGATTGCGTTGCTTATGGCAGGCCAGCACTCTTCCTCCTCTACTGCTGCCTGGATTGTTCTGCGCCTGGCCGCCTGCCCCGAGATTGTGGAGGAGCTTTACCAAGAACAACTCCAGATTCTGGGCTCTGACCTCCCTCCTCTCACCCACGAAGGACTCCAGAAGCTCGACTTGCACTCCAAGGTGATCAAGGAAACCCTCCGTATCCACGCTCCGATCCACTCGATCATTCGCGCCGTCAAGAACCCCATGCCCGTGGAAGGCACCTCTTATGTTATCCCTACCACTCACAATGTCCTCTCTTCTCCGGGTGTTACTGCTCGCTCTGCAGAGTTCTTCCCCGAGCCTCTGAAGTGGAACCCCCACCGCTGGGATGAGGCTGAGACTACCAAGGAAGAAGATGAGGAGCAGATCGACTACGGTTATGGACTGGTTACCAAGGGCACAAATAGTCCTTACCTGCCTTTCGGTGCTGGTCGTCATCGCTGCATTGGTGAACAGTTTGCCTATGTGCAGTTGGGCACAATTTTAGCTGCGCTAGTGAGACACTTCAAGTTCTCCAAGCCCAACGCTGATACACCCTTCCCCGAGACGGATTATTCAGTAAGAGATGCTCTATCGCGATCAACTTGGTGTTTTAACTGACCATATTCTAGTCCCTCTTCTCCAAGCCTCTGGGTACATCGTTTGTTCAGTACGAGAAGCGTGGAGTTAAAGCATGATCGGAGTTATGTTTTAGAAAAGATTCCCATTCACCTTTTGATCACATATTAATGCCCCCCCCCCTCCTCTTGATACAGCAAATGTTCAGACTGAACTTGGGCCAAGTCCAGTCGGTGGATTTGACAGCTCTAGCATCATGGATTTCCTTCTTCACCTCGAGAGACGATTTTGCTGTATAAATATTCACTTCTGGCGACTTTAAATCGCATGTTTCTCTAAATTTTTACATAGCTCAATCATATTATTTTAATCAGACATAAGAACACACTACTTGGCTCCAGAAAAACTAAAGATGAAAAAGAAATCATGATTGCAATAGTATAGCAATAGTATAGTACAGTTCGAATTTGAACATCCAGGCTCAACAAGAAATATGCAAGATACACGAGGTGGTTCCACCGTTCACATTCACGCCTTCTTTCTCTCATCCAGCCTCTTCTTGTTCTGGACTTCCCGGCGTCGTCGCTCACCACCATCGACCTTCTGTCCCCGTCTGTCCTCCCACATGCCCTCCTGGACCGAAATGGTGGCCGCAGTACCATTGGAGCCCTTCAAGGGCTGAAGGAACGGACCCATGGGCTGACAGCCGCGGTGAATCTTCATGTGCGCAAATTTCTTGATCAGTTGTTTCTTGTTATACTGATATGTAGTGACATCAGGTGCCAGGTTGACAATGGCTTTCACCATGCCGGGTGACAGTGTGGCGGAAGAAGTTTGAACGGCCGCTTGTGCTTCATGTGTCAGGCCTCTGGCATTAATAGGCACTTCAACAACCCGCAATTGTGCAACACCATCGACCACGGTCTCCAGGTCACCTCCAGGGCCGTACAGTCCGTTTCTGAACTTCTCGCGCTTCCGGATCAGGTACCGTCGCTGGCGGGCTGGCTCAATTCCGGCTTGGCGGAGTTGGTTGGAGTTTAAAGTGAAAAGTTCTTCCCATGAGGGGATCTTGCCCGCTTGCTTGGACATTTCACGGCCGATCAGCGTGAGGAAGGTCGGGACGTCAGGAACGAAAGGGGTCGGAGATGGCACAGGCGGGGGCGCGTTCTTGTGGAGTGATCGAATATATTGGCTGGAAATTGACACTGGTTTGAAAAGGCGCGCTGTCAAGCTGCCTAGCGGTGAATTGCGCATTGCCATGACACTCATGGTGAAAGGTGTTGCGGGAAGGATGCCGCAAGCCCTGACTCTATTGGTAACCCTCGTGCTTTTGTTTCCCGGAAAATTGGATTCGTAGTATCGATGAGAGGAGCTGCTAAGGAATGCCTTTGAGGTTGACGGGTTTCCAGCAGTTTCCGAGGGAATTGGCCGGGGGGTCGCTGTTGACTGACTTGGAGAAATTTCGGGAGTCGCCAAAAAGTCCGGGATCAACAATACTCCGGGCCTATGGGGTTATGACATCGGCCCTTATATTTCGACATTGCTATCTTCACCTCAGACTTTTTTCCGCTAAAGATGATCTCTTAATTATAGTAGCCACTAAATATCTGTGGCTATTTCTAACTTCGTGTTGCTCCTCATAGTTTGACCTTGTGCTTCAAACCACCTTAACCATGGCACTCTCGCCCTTCGGCTCTCGTTCACCATCCATGACTGTGCATTCCCCAAATACAGCAATCAGACTGAGAGCTACTGCTGCACAAAAATCAGTTGCTGGAACTGCAGCTGTAGCTGTGTCAAAATCCGTGCAGAATGGGGATCGCGAACTCACTGAACAACTGAATATTGATGTCCGGGAACGATACGTCAAAGGTATTTAAACATGAGCTGCATTGTTGTCTTGGGACCGCTATGCTAACAGAGAACTAGACAAGAAAGTAGGTGAAGGTACATATGCCGTGGTCTATGTTGGCCACCTCCGACACGACCCCTCATCCCTCGTCGCGATCAAGAAGATCAAAGTCAATGCCGAATACAAGGATGGACTTGCTATGGATGCGGTTCGTGAAGTGAAGTACCTTCAAGAGCTGAAACATCCCAACGTCATTGCCCTCCACGATGTTTTCTCCTCAAAGGATCAAAATCTAAGCTTGGTTCTTGAGTTTCTTCCCGGTGGAGATCTTGAGATGCTCATCAAAGACAGTGATATTCACTACGGTGTGGCCGATGTCAAAGCTTGGATGGGCATGCTTGCCCGGGGTGTATGGTGGTGCCATGAGAACTTTGTTCTCCACCGGGATATCAAGCCCAACAACTTGCTGATCGCGTCAGACGGGGAGGTTAAATTGGCCGATTTTGGTCTCGCCAGATCCTTTGCCGATCCCCTGTTTAACATGACCCATCAAGTCATCACTCGGTGGTATCGGCCACCCGAGCTTCTCTACGGTGCACGTCAATACTCCGGCGCGGTCGATGTTTGGTCCATGGGGATGGTCTTTGCCGAGCTCCTGCTACGAGTTCCATTTGTGGCGGGCAATACGGACCTGGACCAAACCTCCAAAATCTGCGAAGCGTTCGGCACCCCAACGGAGGAGAATTGGCCTGGGGTCAGCAAATTGCCTTACTACATTGCCACTGACAAAGCCCATTTGGTGCCGTTACAAGGGCGCGATTTCTTCATGCGACAGTTCCCCACTGCAGGTCCGGTGGGCGCTGATCTGCTGATGTCGATGTGTGCGCTTGACCCCCGTAAGCGCAGTACGGCTGTGCAGTGTCTGCGACACAATTGGTGGACAATTGAACCCCGGCCGACTAAGAACGAAGATCTCCCGCGGAAATCTGGAGGGACTAAAAAGATGGGAGATGATTTGACCAGACGTGGTGGCGAGCTGGATGAGGCCATGTTCAAGAGTGCTGCCCGGCAACTGGATTTCGGTATGAAATAATGACACAAAATACAAGATAGACAAAGAAAAACAAAGCCTAGCAGGGTAATAATGGTATTATTCAGCCGAAACACTAAATATGCATGGCATTGGCATCTGCAGCAACTATTGGATTGTCTCCAGGGCTGAAGTCCATGATAGTAAGAGAGACAATCGAGTCGGGAACCGCCATTCCCTCATCACCTGTCATGTATCCAGTTGGGCCATAGCCTGTTTACGTATTTAAAAAAAAGAAAGAGAGGGGCATAGGCTCCCTTGCCCTGTATTCAAGAGGTTCTCCCAATAACTCTATAGTTACTATATACTTTTTTAGTTTGTAGATGTAGATATGGTTATATACAGGTCACGGGACGGGACGTAAATGAGGATCAACGCCAGACTAATTTTAATTTTTGGTTTACCTGTCAATCTTTGCTTGATTCGAATAGCCGTTATCGAACAGGAGTTCATCCCAAGCTTCACCTGTATAGGGAGAGAGCTACCTATACTCCTTCGACCCTTAAGGACAATAGGTCTCCTCCCGATCTCCCGATCTCCCAATCTCCGGGTCTCTAGGTCTCTAGATACCTTTCTAGCCGCAATAATGAGGTCCTAAAAAAATGAAGCTTAAGACATTTCATTCGCCCCCTTTTCCTCTCGACTTCCCAAACTTGAAACCTCCACTGCCTATCATTGGAAGATGCTCCGAGCTTCCTAAAGGCTGCCCCTGCGGTTTACTAAAGGTGCTATCCCCCCCCCCCCCCCCCCCCCCCTTTTTTCCTACTTTCTATGGTTGTAGGGATATAGAGGAGAAGAAGGGTATTTTATCCATTATAGTGAGTCTAGGAGAAAAGAAGAGAGAGAGTGTGAGTATATCTATAAAGAGAGGTATAGTTATCTAAATAGTTATTTAAAGGTATTAAATAATCAAATATATTAAGTCTGGCCCCGTTCTCTGCGGGGATTATTTTGATACTTTTCTCTTCTCTCTCTCTTTCTCTTCCTCTCTCCCTCCCCCCCCCCCTCTCTCTCTGTGCCTCTATAGATTTTCATCTTCCATCTTTATTTTCATCTCTCTGCTTCCCCGTCGCGATTGCAATGCAACATATGCTTTGAATCTGTGAGTACCCGAGATCTAAATCATAACATAGCATCCGTTATCGCGTCTCGATCTCCCGAGACTCTTGAAACCCCGTGGAATTTCTCTCTCGGATTCAACATGTCTCATTTGACTAACTGTGATGGTACAGACTCAACAATCTGCCCACATGGCCATCGCGTCCACTGATTAAATCCATTCGCGTTTCAAGACACCCCATGGCCTCAATGTCAACATTACCGCAGCCCTCGCAGCTGTCGCGGCCAGTGCCACCTCCAACTGGATCGTTACCCCCTCTCCCTAAACCCAGAAAGTCTACATCTTCCGACACACCACGGGCTGCATCCCCCTACCAGGCCTCCAAACTGCGGACCCCATCCAGCCCCAAACCATCGCTCAAGTCGCCTCTATCAACTTCAAACTCAACCTCCAACCTAAATGCCCGATCAACTTCTGGTGGGCGCACTCCGGGTAGCCCCGACAAATCTTTGCGCCGAACAATCAGTATCGCATCGTTCCCCCAACCACCAAAGGCCAGCAGCCGTCCATCCACTGCATCATCGCTCTCTGGGATCCAAGGTGCTACTTCCAGTGTGCGACCCCAAAGAAGCTCACGACTGAGCACAGGAACCATGAGCAGCTACCGAAGCTCAAAGACCCCATCATTACTCAACGGTAGTGGAGAAGGTAAATTCATATCAAGTGGAGATGCGCGAGATCCAGAGGCATCTCCAACCCATAGCAGAAGTTCTTCCGCCCAAGGGTCTTGCTCAACGAGCGCGACGACTTTTGAGGATGCAGATGATTCAACGGGGAAATCAAGCTCTAAGCCAAAGGAGATCAAGGGCAATGTGCTTGTCAGCGTGCGTGTGCGTCCTGACAACAACAATGGAGAGACTTCCCGAAATCATGGTGAATGGTCCGTCGATAGCCGGCAAAGCCTCATCTCATACCGTGGGAAAGAAGGAGGAGATTATTTTTATGGTGAGAACGATATTCATTGCTTGCCCACCGTTCGTAACTAACCGTGGAGCAGATAATGTCTTTAATCCACAAGAAAACAACGCCAAGGTTTATGATTCGGCTGCCAAGCGTC